GCTGACACAGTCTGGCTGGTAGCGTCCGTCTGACGCCTTTGTTTTCCTGCCCACCCACGGCTCCACCAAAATCCTGCGTGGTTTTGGTTTTCTTTTGGTTTACATCTAGCGAGAGCGGAGGATGCTCGTGGTCTAGTCTGACTGAAGGAGAGCACCTGAACGGCAGGACCGGGGTTACCTCAGTGCTGCCGTCCAGTGCAGCCGGGCCTTCACAGACCGCTTGCCTCAAAGCAGGTCCTGCTCTGACAGACAGACAGACAGACAGCCTGCACTGTCATGTGTGGGACTGGCAGGGTGCAGAGCCACCCTGCGCGGCCGCTTGCGCCCTGGTCAGGGAAGCTACCGTCCTAGCGCGTGCACTGAGGCTTGGTCAAATCACTTGTGTCTGCTCTTTTACGCTCTCGTGGGCGAAAGGAGCTGATCTCAGCCTGCCCAGTCGAGGTTCGGGTGGGCTGTCCCCCAGCATCCTCTCCCTGTGGATCAGGTCTAGGGTACAACCCAGCAGTGAGCTCCAGAACTTGCATTGTGACCCTCTGCTGTTTGTCCCCTGTTGACAGGGCACCCTGGCTCCTGCTGCACCTGGGACTGATAATGGACATCGCTGGGCCGACCGTGCTTTTACTCAAGCAACTGCCATGGCAGCCAGGAAGAAGGTATGAAAAAATGTACTCTTCTTGAATACTAGACGCCTGCCATCTGCCTGAATTCTGGCCCGGGGATGTGATTTTACTGCCTCTTGCTGGAGAAGCAAGTAAGTCAACAACACAACCGCAAGCTCTGATTGTTTGGTTTGGGGTTTGTTTTTTTTTCTTTGTTGCATCCTTGCCTCTCCGAGATAACTCTCTCCCTCCTCGCGCTCTGCAGTGGTCGCTGATCTCTGCCAAGGGAGCGTTGCAGAAATTCTAAGTGCCTTGCGAAGCAGCCTGCCCAGCAGTTATGTGGATCCTTGCCTGCTGGTTTTACAGCTGGGCAGGCAAGTGCAACAGCTTGGAACAACGTCTGCGCAGCAGGGGCTCCCCTCGCTCAGCCAGCTAACGCGTTCTCTGCTCAGCCTCTGACCTGTGGGCTGAGACCCTTTGTTAGGGAACAGATCAACCTTTTCCGGCAGCTTCAGCCTCTGCACCGTAAGAGCACTGCACGAGGCAACAGCTTACGTGCAGGACTTTGTCTTAAAGTCATAGTAGGTGCCACATATCAAAATGCCTCTGCAACTTGAGATGTGCGCAGCTAGAGCAAAAACTTGCCTTACGGAGGGAAAAGAGGTTGGTCATCTTTCTGCCCACCCCCTTCTAAATATGAGTCATAATTTCCACATGCAGTTCTTGGGAAGCTACCTGTGGGACCACCCGAGAAAACAAGCATGGTTTAAAAACACAGGGCACATGTTTCAGAAGCAGGGAGCCAGAAGGAATCATAGGCCAAACAGAGAGCTCACGAGATCTGCAAAAGAGAGGAAGCTGCGATAGTTACGTGGTCCGGAATGACTGCTCGGGCACTGACGCTACAGCCTCAGTTCTTAGCCGTGTTAAACTGATAGGTGTTTTACTGCTGAGCAGCGCGATACCGAGATGAAGGCTCTGTGTTTTAATGTAGCCTGATTTGTTTCTCTCACTACGTTGGTTTCATTCAAGAAGGGTTCTTGGCCGGTCTGGTGACCAAGCCCCACGTGTGGGGGTCTCTCTACAGGGACCTCTGAGTGTCTGGTATCACCTCCTGGACCAGCTGTGTCCAGCAGTGCTGGGGACTGTGCACTGGCTTGGGTGCTCACCCATATCCCTCCCGCCACGGGAATCGTGTGAAATCTGACTTGCTCTGCATTTTGGGGGGCTCCTGCCCTCTGAAACGTACCTGGTTCGCTCATGCTTTGGCGCACCAAGTCGAGAGCCTCTTTGGGCAGAGCCTGTGCTTCCTCCTGAAACTTTCTGCGTCCTTCTGGAGTCAGTCTCCATAGGCATGACCTGCGGTTTCCCTCGCTGCACGCAAAGCCGGTGGCTTTCTCAAAGCAGCTGCTGAAGCACAGGTTGTGTCGGATTGTGTTTTTCCAGCCCTCTGGGGCCGTTCGAAAAAACGGGAAGTGCTGCCTGCGGAGAGAAAAGATTTGTCCTGAGCTGAAGTGGTTAGGGGCTGTGATAGATAACAGAACACATCATATCCGAGCAAGTGAAGGAGGAGAGGGTCCTCCCTGACCCCTGTGCTGTAAGGGTGGCTGGCGCAGTTGAGCACTGTGTTTCTTCTATGGAGCGTAAGACAAAACTAAAATGCTGGCTCTCGAGACTCCTGGGCATAGGTGTGGACAAAGAGGGGAAGCAGTTTTCTCAGTGGCACCTTGAGCCAAAGGCAGAGCTGAGACCAGAACGCAAGTCCTGGCTGCCACATCCCTGGCTCCCCAATAGAAGATTGGAGACTCCTGCACTCCTTGTCGTCCCTCTTCCCCTCATTCTGCGCTAGGAGCTGGGAGAAGAGCGGGTACCGTGTGAACTGGTAGATCTGCTGAACGGTCAGACTGCCACTTGTGCTGTTGCACAGGGCGAGGGTGATGAGGACGCAGTAATTAAGGGGGGGACGGGGCCAGCCTCCCTCGATTTTGGTGCTCCTCTGCCTGGGGTACTTGAGCTTCACTCTCTGAGGTTTGAGGACTGTGGATTTCCCAGGCATCGGCATTGCGTTGAGTTTGGGAGTTTCCGTCATCTCCCGAGGAACTGGGGTGTCCACACGCGAAGCATCTTCATCCTCAGTAAGCTGCAGAGAGGAAGGAGAAAAAGGGTGTGGGTATATTAGCCCTGGGCGGAACGAGGGGCAGGGATAAGCTGCTTTGTTCTGGGGGAGGGTGGGCCTGGCAGAGTGTGCGTAGAAAATACTTTAAATTTCAGCCTTCTTCCCTGCACTTTGTACTCCCGGCCTGTTTGTCAGACAGGCTCCATGCATTGACTGAGCCCTGGTGAAATGGGAGGCAACTGCTCACGGAGCTGCTGAGCCAGCTCCTTTGCTCCTGTGGGATCATTCAGCGCGTACCACGCCTAGGACCACCCGAGCGGTTCCCTTTTTTATACCTTTCCAACCTCGCTGCAGGATGATGACAGGACATCCTCCTCGGAGCAGTCCGGGTCAGAGTAGTCCCAGGATGCATTCGGAGAGGAGGCTTCTGTGTCACCAGCGCCCGAGGCCACCCGGTTGTCGGATCCAGCCGGGTCTACGCCAGGGCTCCCGGCGATGGGGCAGACCAGGCTGGGGTTTACCCACATCCACAGATGGGACTGAATGCCAGGTTCTAAGGAGAAGGAGAAGCGTCACCCCACCGGTCCCACCTGAGGATGGTTTCTAGACCATGCTGTCCAGAGGCAGCCTGGGGGAGCTCTAATGCAATGCAAATCCCAAGGCAAAGATCCCCAGTTGCTTTCTCGTCCCTCTAAATAGTGTTCTATTTCCTGTTTTGCACAGCGTATGCATGTCTGCCTGTTCTTACACCGCTGTGCCAGCCCGAACAACGGTGCTCAGCTCTGAAATTTTATTCTCTCTTTCCCCCGCAAAGCCAGAAGAGTGCACATTACTCCCTTCAGTCCTCCTCTCCCAAGGTTATCTACCCAAAAGGCTGTATTTGGAGGGAAGCACGTCTGCAGGTACAGCTACGTCATTATATCCTTGTCCTTGAGAGACGGCTTCAACTTTTTCTAAGCTAGCTTAGAAATATTCCGGTCTGGACACAGATGCTCTGGCTGGCAAAAGACAAGCCCCTTTCCCAGGCCATTCCCTGAAACACCGCCAAGCTCTGTAGGTAGAACCAGGTCCCAAACTTACCCCTGGCATCTGGCAGCGCCCCTGGCAGCGAGCACCCGTGTGCCGACGGGTCAGGTTGCCACTTCAGTGTGGGACGGCACGGGGTCTCGTCAGGAGCTGGCAGACATGGGGAGCCCAGAGACACTCTGTTGGGGTTACGCTTTTTGCGTTAGCCTCATGTTCTGTATGCTGCGTAATGGCAGACACTTCTAATTTGATCTGATCGCATTTAAACACGGGCTTTTTGTTAACTTCTAGACCGGAGCTTACTGTTTACCAGACTACGATTTTCAGTTCCTGGGTTTTGGAGACAGGAATCTTTTTAAAAGGAAGCCAAGTCAATCAGTTCCCCCCGAGGCCCTTACCTGGCAGAAACTCTTCATCGGTGATGGTGAGTTTGAGCTCCTCTGCCATATCCCAGTCCTCAAGGCCATATTTCAAATGCAGGTTTTCCCAAAACGACTTGTTTTGAAAACTCAAGTACATTTTTTTGTATGGCAAAGTAACCTCCGGGTGCTGAGCGCAGCAGGATCTGTGAGGGTGGCACAAAGAATCCCACGAGCTTGAGGTGCTCTGTCCGCCAAGAGAGTTGTTTTCATCTATGTTTTTAAAAAGGATATCACACAGGTGGGTGAAAAGCTGGTCTCTGTTTCACACTGGTCTCTATTTCACACTTCTAAATACCTATTAAAGCCCCTTCCAGGGAGTAAGTGGCCTGTATTGGTGGAGTAAGGGAGCTGATTGAAAGATAGGTGGCACCATGTAGGCTCTGTTTTCTGCCCGTTTACTTTGCGAGAGCCTTGACAAACAAGCCATTTCTGTGCTCATTAGGCTAACACTTTATTTTTGTCTGCTCCTGATAAAATGACAGCATTACCTATGCTCTGCAGTGGGCTTCCCCAGTCTGAGAACCCGAGTGTCTCTGGAAGCAGGATGGATCTCTGATCAGAGTGCGCTGGATGCATTTAGCAGGTACTGGGGAGCTCCCTCACCCTGCTTGCCTGGAAGTAGCGGGTTTTAAGACTGGAAACTGCTTTCCATCAGACAGGTAAAACACTGAGGGGGTGCCACGGTTGGGGAAAAGGAGGCAGCCTAAGCAGGTACCGGGCGTGCTTTCACAGCGTGTCCCTCAGAAACTTTTTGTGCGGCTTGAAGACGCAGTCTAAATTCTGTGCCTTCCTGAATTGCTTTTGTTTCATCCACCATACCTTTCACACACGGCCCCTGCCTAATCTGTCCCAGGCATTACGAAGGAAGCGATGTGGTTTGTGCTATTAAACGGCGGCTGTAATACATCCTCATCCTATTCGCCCCCTCGCCGCCACTCTTCTGCTCGAGGGGGCAGGGGATGTAGGTGGCACGGGGGGAAACGGAGCAGCTACAAATCAAAATCCAAGCCTTGGCTTAGTACCAGCAGGCAATTAGATTTCAGACTCACTACATATGTTGCCCATTTTGTAGGAGGACACAGGTCATGCTCATAGCAGAGGAGTACGTCAGGGACTTGCTGCCAGTCTGTAGCAGGGAAAGGGACAGAATGAGGCTGGTTTGGGCAATTGTTGGAGAAGATGGCGCCGTAACGGCGGCGTCATGATGTTGGGAGAATCTCGGCTTAAAAGTGAATTCCGTGACCCTTGCACCAAAGGTTTGCCTTCGAGTTGTTTGGATTTTTTCTGCATGATGAAGGAAAAGGGCAAGATGCTTTTCCCAGCTGCGGGCTTGCTCTGCCGTGGTTCGGGCCAAATGTTCTGCACTGCTTGCTGTCACAATTCCCACCCTTTGCGTATTTTCACCTTTTGAGACGGGCTGTCGAAAAATCAGTCCAACACCAAAGCAAGCTTTTCTTGGAAATGAACTTTCAAAAGGCAAAGAAGGACCTGGCACGCTCAGTTTTGCCTCTTCAATGAAAGCAGGTACGATGGTTTGTACTGTATTAAATTTTGCTTGCTTCTCGTTAGGCTTTTCGCAGATGTCAAGCCAGCAGGGCTCGGCTTTCACTGCATGCAAAAGACTGCTGTCGCATAGCTGTTTCCACCCTTGTGTGACAAAGTTCGGTTGTTAGCTGAGACGACGTGCTCCCGGTTGGATTCCTCGGGTGTGAGCAGGACCTGCTCGGTTGGCTGCTCTCCTCAAAAAAGCCCGAGTGCGCCCCAATCAAAATCCTTTCCCCTTTCTGAAACTGGAGCCTGGTATTTGACTTGACATGTGTTGCGAACGGTCCAGCTACTATAGTTTAATAATTTACTACGTATCAGTCGGCCTGCTGCACCACAAAGTTGCTTTCCCTTCTATCCAGAGCGAAACTCTCACACGGTGGCGTATGCATCAGCTGAGGCGTAGTAATTCATTAAGCCTGTGATTATCTACATGCACCCTCAACTGATGCCTCACCTACCCACATAACCTTTGGTACTTCAACAATAGACTCACACAAGAGTGCGAGACTGGATGCAGTTATGTTAATAATCTTAGAACCGCGTAAGTACTTTGGGGGGGGCAAAAGACGTCCGGCGACAGCTAGACCTTGCGTGCAGATGAATTATTTTGACCCGCTTGCTCTTCGGCCAGGCACGACTTCTGAAAAGCAAGCGGGGCAACACGTGAGGGACGGATGTGAAAAAAAGGCAAAGAATATTTGGGGATGGACTTGTCCGTGGGAAGGACACTGTTCTCTGTGCTGCTTTCCAGGAACGGGCC